ATCCTCCCCCCATGAACCAATGTAGTCTCTTTTTAACCATCCTATGATTGCATAACAATCTCTATCAATCATAATATATTTGTAACTTGGGAATTTTGTTATCCTTAAGCCATGAGGTATAGCCTAACAACTCTGCTCCAATTGAATCACCAAACTCAATCAGTCTGAAATAGTTAACAGTTTCTTTCCAACTTTCTGAGAACTCACTTTATTCCACTAGGTCCTGGATTCCTCACACTTCAGCCATCAAAATTTCAGCTTTATTTGCTTAGAGTAAGGGGGTCCATGGAATACAGAGGAGTTTTTAACAGATAAAGATACCAGTCTATGAATTCCTTACAACATCATCAGTAGTAAAAGAAGAAAAAGCATCCAAGGTCTTCACTCAATGTGCTACTTTTACAATGATATTCTCCAAGGTGGCTTCTCATAAGTGTTCGTATTTACAAAGTCATTTTCTATTGTATTCTTCTATAATTCTAATTAGTACCCATAAATTTCAACAATTCAACTGAACTCAACTTAACAAAGCCTTGTCCCAACATATTGAGTCACATGAATCTTGATCCACAATTCTATGCTATTCAATGCTATGTACATTCCTGTTTAATGGAATGTGCTTTTTTCCAAAAAACAAAATGGGCATGTCCTTTTTGGTCCCCCTAGATCTAGACCATTCAACTTGAAATGGATCATTTCTTCTTATCGGTGCAGTAAATGATCCTTTATATGCACATGATCAAACCATCTTAGTCTACTTTCTTTCATTTTATCACCTACAGGGGTAACTCTTATATACCCATGAGGCCATGAAGATGTTAACTTACAATCTCATTTTATCATCATCAATATCAAAAGTTTCCTACCTGCCTCATTCATTTTTTTTTTGGAATCATTTTTTCTTAACTTCACAAAGCTTTGCTCCATGCAACACTGCTGGCCTTATGGCTATTTCATAAAACACTATTCATCTTCCTGTCTCTGATCACATGCAACACTCCAAATGCAGCCCTCCATTCAAATTGCTCTAATGTTATGTGCTACCACATCCTCAATCTCTTCCTTGTTAAGAAGCAAAGAACCAAGGGAGCATGAGGTCACATTGAGGCATCTCTTGATCTCTGCAAATATTTTATTTTAGCCCTCATCTTAAAACCTCTTGATTAGCATATTTCCATAGATTTGGTTTTGTATTTAATCCTACTCTAGTTTGTTAAGCCAAACCATGCCATCAACAAACAATGTACACCATGGAACCTCATCTTAAATATGCTTAATTAACCTATCCAATTACCAATGCAAACATATAGCTAGGGATGATCATGGGCCAGGCCAGGATGGACCCAGGCTGGGCTTAGCACATATGTCAAGGACTCTATTCCAGGCCTGAACCCAGCCTGGTCCACACTCCGAGTCTGAAATATAAGCCTGGGCCTGGGGTTACATGGGCCTGGTCCAGGCCAGACCAGGTTCCAGGCCATGATTTTAAAAAACATCATATTATTTTCCTTTTTCTTCTGATCCACCACAAAAAGATTATTTTCCTTTTCATATATTCATTTATAAATTATAGAAAAAGAGGCACACAGTAAAATCCATCCTTCACTGAAACCCACTCTACAGCCTTGAGAAAATAAAATAAAACCCACTCTAAAGTCTAAACAAGTGTCTTATCTTCCTATTTAGTTATCAAAAGAAGAAAGTAAAAAAAGCACATACCTTGGTTTTCCATTCTAAAACTGAGTAGCAAAAAAGATTAAACAAATCAAAAGTGACTGCTGCAAATCCCAACAGCAGCAGCCCCCTTGCTCACAGAAACTCATTCCTGTTCAAAGTTTGATATCTTAAAATATTCTCGCATCACATGAATTTCCCAAGGAAGAGCACTGAGCATTGCAGAGGCATACATATCTTAAAATTGGGATCCATCTCCTTCCTCATACTAATCAATCTATTCAAAATCACAGTCCCCATGAGTCCAATTGCAGCAAACAGAGTTCCATTGTACACAAATGTCCCAAATTTACTGAGGATACTGCATACTCCTGATTCAAATATGCACCAACTCCAACTAGTTTCTCCATAAAGGGGAACTGCAGGCCTGCAGCAACCCTTGATATCCATCTGTTCAAAAATAACCCTAGAATTCTTAAACATGAAGATGATGGTGATGATGCTGATTGATCCTCAGAATCTCTGCTACCACTATAACCAGAACTCAACTCATCATTGCCACCTTCACTTATTCCATGGCTAGCTATGCTGCCTCCATTACCTCTGCACCAAAAACTTCAAACTTTCCACGGGAGCTGGTATTAAAAGTTAGGAGAAAGGAGAAAGAAATTTTTCAAGGGGAAGTAAAGGACGAAGAGAGAGATCCAGAAAAAAGGGACTTTGATTGATAGTATGCCGGTTTCCAGGGAGATTGCAGCGGTTAGAATGAGGAAGATATTGGACCTATACATGCCGCCATGCCTTCAGATTAGGGCCTTTCAAACTCCACCAAAATAAGAAAATATACATGTACAAATTATAAATGTATTTCAGGTAGAGCCTGGGCCTGGAAATTTATGGTCTGGGTCAGGCCGGGCCAAGAATGATCACCCCTCACATATAGGGGTAAGTGCTGGCACTGGTTGGTTTTGAATTGACAACAAGCTCAATGAATTTATGTCTCAAAAAGGAGACGAAGAAAGGAATACATCATGCAAGAAGAAAAGAGATACCAAAAAAAAAAAAAAGGATCACAAAACCATATACGGTCATACTACAGCCTTCCCATCCTAGATAAATGAAAAAAAAAAAAAAGAACTCCCCAAGTAAAAAGGAACCCAAATACATTATAACAGCTCTTTTTTTAAGTATTTCAACTCTGAAAGTTCTATAAACTGTCTTTTCATTTCCATTTCAGATCTTAACCTTACTTAACCATCATTTATCCACCAAAAGTCATATTTCAGCAGACACTATGCTCACACACCATTACAGTATAGCTGTTACACTTATCTTCCCCAAAACTCTTACTACCAATCTGTTATGCCTGAAATTATTAGGAACTATCACAAAAATAAATTAGTTTGTTCATAAATCCTCATATTGTTTGATGATATTAATGGTCTATAGCACTAAATGTAAACAATTAGGCATTCTTTTCCCCTTGGGAAAATATACCAATATCCTATTTTCTTTAACTTTCCCTGGGAAGACCCTAAAATTTCCCCCGTATTACAAATACTTTGCAAATTTTCCTAGAAACTTAATATTTAAAGCTATATTTGTGAAATATCCAGAGATAACCTCTTCATATGGTAGTATTTATAAGGATATCAAAATCATGAAACTTAATCCAGACTAGAGAAAGAACAACATAGGACTTCAATACCCAAAAGAAAAGCAGCATACTTCCTCTAGCAAAGAATGTTTGTGAATGGAAATCTAATACATTTAATATGAAAACCTTCTCATTCACATATATGATACCCAGATACCTGTACAAGGGTACTGTCATATCAGATACTTCAATTTTTAGCATAAATTTTGTATCCAATACCAAGATTTGAAGTATCGAAATGATTGATATGATACTCGCAATACAGGGCATATAATCTCTGTGTCCATGGCCAGGGATACAGGATACAGCACGATTAGATATGTATCCCATGACTCGTGCGTACCCACACAATACTTCTCCGCATCGGGCCCTATCGGTTGTGATTACAATCCGATGCGCATTGATATAGAAGCATACCAGTCACAAAATTGTACATCGACCGCTTTTCAATTGTTTTTGGACTTTAATAAAAATTGAAAATTATAATTATAAAAAATGAATCATATTTTGCCTACCTTAAATGAATCATATGTTTTATTTTACATATAAATTATGTGTTAAAAATGAAAACATATTTATTATTTGAAAAAATATAGTTATTAATTATATAAAATACTAAATAAATTTCCCACAAAAATTAAAAAAAAATTGAAAACTATAATTATAAAAATTGAAATAGAATGACAATTATTATACGATGTGTACATGTTCCAGAGTCCCGGTATTGTTGATTATAACGATTCTCTTCATATACCTATTAAAGTGTGCATTTATGATTTATCATGTCTTTTTACCTTATTCATAGATATTTCAGCTTTAGATTTAGTGTTATTAATGTATTTGTGATTTGTATGCATTTCCCTAGCATATCCAACCGTTTCCATATCTTTTGTTGTATCAATGCATTTCCCAAGATGGAGTCCCTCCATATGATTCTCACGTGGTTTGAGGTTGTATCAGGACCCAAGATTAATCTTCATAAGATGGAGCCCATCCATATGTTTGTACCTTATTTCTATAGTCCTTGTTGTACACTATCATGTATTCTTTCTTTCTCATTTTCTCTTCTTTGCCCCGCAATGGCATTTCTGTAATATCTATCTATAGGGTGGGGTCGACTGATTCTGTTTTCACCCTAAACTCTCTTGTACAAACTGAATGTGTGACAAGTTGATCTGAAGGGTCTCTCTAAAGAAGGCAAGTTATTTGGTGGGTAGGACCAGCTTTATTGGTTTGGACAATATGGACAGAAAGAAACAAAAGATTGTTTGAAAACATGTGTTTCGGAGGAAAATTTATGTAAACGTTTTTGGGGTAGGATGTACTCATGGGTAGGAACACATAAATGATTCAGGAATAGACCATATAACTCTTTTTATAATTCTGGGGATCTTTTTGTATCTATGCACACAGGGTAAACAATACAGAAGATGTACAGCTTTTAATTGGGAACTGCACAACTCCTTGTTGTGCAGATTTGGTTTGCTTTTTGTCTAATATATTACTTTACCTTTTCTCTCAAAAAAAAATCCATGTGTTTCCCAAGTGTATTCATATTTGTATCCGTATTGGAGCTGTTTGATACCATATAAATCCATGTCCCTACTATCCTGGTAACTTAGATTCATTCACATAACCTACAAAGAGCAACAAATGGCAAGATACTTACACCAATTGTACAGCCATAGCCGGAGGGAACCACTTCTTTAGCTTTTCAAATTTTGCTATTCCTTGAACTGCAGTGACTGGGATAGCAAAGAAAATTGTCAGAACCATTGCTGCAAGAAAGGCTCCAATTTTGTAGAGTGGTAGATGAGCATATGGGATAGCCAAATTACTCCATAGAACATCCCTTGGTTCTGGAGCCATTTCTGTTATCCATGAAAGTGGATTTGCATGATGCTGAGATTGGGCAGCAAGTGTAGCACCCCACCGTGTCTTGAAGGACACAAATGCAACAGGCAACTCCTAGAAATGAAAGGTGATAATTGGTTAGAAAAATATTGATCCATCTAAGATCATAAAGAGAAAACTGAAAATGGAAAATATAACACTATATGATTAAAAGAGAATAATTAACTACGTTCTACAGAAACTTATATTTGTTGAGGAACAGGCTCACAAACCATATATAAGAAAATTTGCAAATTCATTTTCATTCGAAGAGAACATATTAGGTAATTTCAATACAGTGCAGAAAAAATGAACTGAACAGATAAGATATACCTGCATACATACAATCATGCAGAAAATATAACACTGTCAACTCAAAGGACAGAGTGCACAAAAATGGACTGTAAGAACCTTACGCTTACAGTGAATCGTACTTACACAGAATGCTTAATTGAGTTCTATTTGTTTTACATCCTTTAGCATTGGGTACTTCCTAACCCCATAGGGTTCATGTGTGATGTCCATAAAATTATGCTCTTTTCTAAATGTACAACTCAATCCCCACACCACAAGGTATAGTGCTAAGGGAAAGTATCAAAGTATACATTTTCCATATAAGTATTTTTCAAAAAAAAAATATTAGTTACCAAAAAAAAAGAGTTGTAAGAGGTACCCTTAAAGCATCTGTGCACTGCCAACCAAGAATATAGCCTTCCCATAAGACCTTTGCTACATAATCTGCCACATTAATCTTCTCAAAAATCTTTGCACTTCCTTCTTGACCATACCATCCAGACCAGAGTCAATGGAATTATTCACCAAATTACTTCCCCCTCCTACTAAGTCCTCTGACCTGCCGGTTCCATGGAAAGTCTTCCATGCTTTCATTTCTCTAAATGAAACTTGAAACTATGTTTACCAACAGGTGGCATATATTAAAAACGAAGGGGGGAGGTTAAGAGTTTTAGCAGAAGTCTTGGTTTGGTGCATGGTTTAGTCTTTTTTCCTTCAAGGTCTTGTTTCAAGTCCATCTTATCCTGGTTGGAATAGAAGAGAGACCTTTTTGTAGTCAATGTTTGATAGAGGGTGAAGCTGTTGGCATTTGCTGGTTTTGCAGTTTGGTTAAGCTTTTCTGTTGTTTCTGGTAAAAGCCCTGGGAGGGATTGGTTTTATTTTATCATAATATATATATATATATATATAATTAAAATGAATTATTCATGAAACATCTATAGCATGTGACAGTGACATTGAATAATCTGGAAACTAACAACAGTAGTACTGTTAATCGGGTGGGTGGAGTTGGTATTGATTGGGACAGTGTAAGGTCGAGGCAGGTTCTGTAATTCATTAAGTTGGATTGAATTCAATAGCAGGTGCCTTGGGGTCAAGTTTGGGCAGGCAAACCCATAACAAAATCAACTCTCTAACATCCCTAATTAGGCATAGTCTTCTCCTATAGCATCTTACCAAGTTTCCATTAAATCCTATTCAATACATAGGTTACCATGATAGTAAGAATAGAAGCTAGTGTTTAGCCTACATTCATATGGTTTTAAAACCACAAACAAGAGCCAATAAGTTTTCCCACTTATTTCAGACAATTACAGAAAAAGATCATAGAAAAAGCTTTTCCTTAATAACAATTAAAATTAGACCCCATTAACAATGTAAAGATGATAAAGAGAAAATTAACAATTACCTACATAAAACTTCAGCACGTATCCACATTACACATATCCATAAAAAATAAGGCCACTACCCACTGCTGGTCTGGGCTATTTGGTGGACAGTATAAGGGCCTAACCTCTGGCTTTTTTCTGCAAAAAGTGACCACTCTCATACTTGAACCCGGCATTCTCATGCTTATCAGCCAAAGAATTTACTATCATGCCAAGCAATGACCCGTACATATCACACATACACAGACCAAAAAGGACATAGGTTGAAGTAATGAGAAATGATAAAAGGGCTCACAATTTAACGATAAATATGGTAGTAAACAAAACAGACTAGCATAACAGGATTCATGTAGCCAACCACATATAGTTAGTGCAACACTTAGATGATGATGGTGCTATATGTCAAAAATTGCCAGGGGACATGATATTCTTGGGTTCTTGTGTTCCTTTAGTCTCACAAACATGGTTCTTTCTCATGCACCTCTTTTTTCCAAGCCCTTCATCTCAACCTCCCATGTTTTTTTCCAGTAAAAGCCATTTGGAAATGGCCAAAGCCACCTAAAATAAAAGTTTGTTCTTGGGAGGTGGTACATTGGAGAATTAATACTTTTCAGGTATTTAAAAGGAAAAAACCTAATGGTTGTCTTATTCCAAACAAGTGGTTCCTATATAAAGCAAGCAGCGAGACTACTACTCTTTTACTAATCACATGCCCCACTGAATAGCATGGGGAGACTATATGATAATTCCTCCTTTAAACCCTCTACACAGAGAGGGATAGTCACAGGGGTTGTCTTAGAGGGGCTCTCCTATGGTCAATATGGGAAGACAGCAATAGTCAAATTTTAGGGAAGTTTCCCACTCAACGGAAGTGGTAACAAAATATTTTGATAGGAATGGCCTCCTTGGCCAAAACTGTCATTGTATGTTTCATTGATGACATAAAGAGGATGGTCCAATGTATCAAATTGCTCCACTACAAGGACAGTAAGTGCTTCCCTTTAGAAGGCTCCTAACGGAAATCATGTAAAGCTTAATTTTGACGGAAGCAGCATTGAAAAATCTGAAATCCAGGAATTTCAAGCATCAGTAGGGTGTTAAGAAAACAGTGATGGTGAAGATTTGTACTCTGGACTTATAGGCCAAGAATAGTCATTGTGGGCTGAACTCTTAGTTGTATACCAGGGTATGAAGCTGGTGAAGACCCTAAATTTTAATGATTTAATCATGGAAGGTGATTCTAAGCGTCATTGTAAGCTTCTTGTAAAACAACAACCCAAGACTTTAGCTGTAGCATCATCGGATGAAAAGTTGCACGAGACTTATAAGCTCAACTTCTGTGGATAAAAAGGGAGGCTAACTGCTCAGCTGACCTTTTATCAAAATAAAGGGTCAACATGGAAAATTTGTATTGAGGAATGACAATTGGGAAATGCTTATGGTAATAATATATGATGTAAACCAGAGTTGCTTGGGGTGCTGGAACTTCTTCACGTAAATTAGGCTTTCTTCTCAATTAATAAAACAAAGTAACCAGTAATCAATTGAATAACTCTAATGTACCTAGAAAGTAACTTCTAGAATGAGGAAAGCACAACTATTGATTTCTCAAAATTCTTGTGTTGTAACTATGGACCCAAACTCTGACTTTTCTGCACAAAGTATACACACCAGATGTTTTGCAAAAAGTGGTCAGAGACTCAAAACTACATTCTCATGCTTGCTAGTCCAGGATGTTACCATTGCACCAAGCCCTTTCATATGACACACACATAAGCAGTTGAGAAAACAAACCAAGTAACTTCAATATACCTAGAAACTGACTTTTAAAATAAGGAAAGAACCACAATTGATAGAAAAATCTCCTCATGTAACATTGATAGACAAAAAACTATAAAATGAAACTAATCCAAAGTAGGAAACTGCTTTATTCTAGAATTATCTAACTTACCGGTGAATCCTCAACATCTTTTCTACAGTAGACCATCTGATAAGATTGATAAGAATATGGATGATGCTTGGAGAAGAACTGTTCTACACAACACTCATGAGACTTATGTTCAGTGCAGAATGGAATTTCTCTTACTAAAACTGTGAACTGCTCAGGCCGATTCCTAACATTGCAAAGGCATTTAATCCTTTTCACCGATATCTCATTGTACTCCTAAGATGAAACAGTACAAAAAGGCACCATGTATATCAAACCATAGAAAGTCCAAATGAGCAACAAATATAAAAATCTTCAAAAATTTTTCAACCAAAACAGATGGTCCAATTGAGCAAGAGAAAGTCATGCAAATTGAAAGGAGATAGGCGTAAATTTTGGGATTACATATAAAAAATGAATGGGAAAGATACATTTTTGTACGCTAAAAGTATCATCCAAAAAGACCAATGCAACTGGAAATTATCAACCACCACAGAAATTTCATTCTTCTCATCAAAATAATCCAGTAAATTAAATAACATATAGTTTTTGCTAACAAGAAAATGTCACTAATATTATCAAGGGCGGTAACTGTTATGCACAACATAAAAGAATAATAAAGCATTCTATTGATTATATGATATTTCTTATTATATTCCTCATGGAAATGGTCAATTAAAAACATTAGCAGTTATTATGATGTTGTAATTCCTGTTTAGATTTTATGACATTATGTACTGACAAGGTTAAAGGCATTTAATAATCAATAGTTTTGTTGTCTTACTACAGGGGAGCATCTGGTTGTCAGCTTTTCATCATCCAGCTCCTACAGAAAATGACTTACAATAGACCATTAGCTATGCCATTGGTACAGGTTATGATAGCTTCTTGTAGGGAAGTTATGTCACAAATCACACTTATTTCCTGTATACCAATACACACTTTCCCATGTAGATCTAAATATTATGGTGATGCTTACATGCACCACTTTATCCCATGCCAATATACTTCACTTTTCTAGGCATGGGGGCTTTGAAATTTCCCTCGGGTGTGAACCAAGGACTCTCCAATGGAAAAGATAGTAGAAAAGGAAAAAACAATAATCCAATTTGATAATAGTGAAAAAGAAGAGAGAAAGAGAGATCTTAGTGAGAAGAGAAGAAGAGATGGGGAGAAGCCAATAATGATCTGGCCACCCCACCCATTATCTTATATACACATAAAAAAGATTAATAACAAAGACTATAGTGCCCTTAATGGGGAAGCTACTGTTCATAACATAAAAAACAGCTCAAAAAAAAACAACATAAACTAATGGGCCTTGGGCCCAATAACACTAACTAATGATTATAAACAAGAAAAACATAAGAAACTACTGAGTGTCCCCCCTCAAGTTGGGAGTAGATGTCACACATTCCCAACTCGTATAGATCATGTTCAAGATTATTTCTTGCAACTCCTTTTGTGAGAATATCAGCTAGTTGTAAATCAGATGCGACATATGGTAGGCACCCTTTCTCTTATGAAATGTCTGTCCACCTCTATATGCTTTGTTCTATCATGCTAAATTGGGTTACGAGCAATGTTAATTGTTGCTTGATTATCACAGTACATCATAGGTTATTCTGCATCAACTCCAATCTTTCCCAATAAGGACCGAACCCAAAAAAGATCTAAAACACCAAGTTCCATAGCTCTATATTCAGCTTTTACACTCGACCTAGCTACAACTGATTGCTTCTTACTTTTCCCAAACCAGATAACCTCCAACAAGAGTACACACTCCTGATGTAGATCTCCTGTCATCTGGGCACCCTATCCAACCAACATCTATGTAAACTTCCAGCTTCAAATTTTAACATCAAACTGGTGAAGAGGCCAATCAAAAGTAGCAGCTAGAAACAACAAAACTCGAACATAAGTCATTTTAACCACAGGAGCAAAAGTCTCAAGGTAATCAATACCATACATCTGAGTATGGCCTTTAGCAACCAATCGAGCCTTAAACCTCTCAATAGTGCCATCAGAATGATATTTGATAGTGAAAACCCATTTACAAACTACTGGTTCCTTCCCTATAGGCGGGTCCACAATATCCCAAGTATGGTTTTTATGCAAAGCATCTACCTCAGTCATCATAGCATCCCTCCATTCAGGTTTGGACAAAGCTTCTAGTACAGACCTGGAAATCAAATGGTAGGGCTGTTCACGGGTCGGGTTGGGTCGGTTTACAGGGGTTTTCCCAACCGACCCGACCTGGTCGGGTTACATGAGGTGGAAACCGAAACCGACCCACTGATAGGCAAAACCGACCTGGTCGGTTTGAGTCAGGTTGGGTCGGTTTGGGTCGGTTTCGGTTTTGCTCCTGTACAAAAATGATAGAGAAGCCTAGAACTAGGACACCTAATTCTAGTTGTAATTGCCTAATGGGTTGCCTATTTGGTGTAAAAGACTAGAGAAATTAGGATAGATACAATTTAGTTAAATAAGAACTAGAAGATAGGGATGTTCTAGTTCTAGTAGAAGACTAGTTAAGTAGGAAACTAGGAACTACCGAACTAGAAAACTAATTGGTTTGGTTTGGTTCGGGTCAGTTTTGGTTTTCTTATGTGAAAACCGAAACCAACCTGATATATCAGTTTATGATTTTGCCCAACCCGAAACCGACCGGTGCTGATGAAAAACCGGCCGACTCGGGTTGGGTCGGTTCGGGTTGGTCGGGTTGGTCGGGTTGGGCCTTCTTATGAACAGCCCTATCAAATGGGTATAAACAAAGGCAAGGAAAGAATAATAGGTAGGGAATAGAAGGCTATAGGGCAGGTGTTTGGAGATACAATGTGTTGTACACTTCTACTTGCCTTTGCGAAGGGCACTAGGAAGGTCAAGGTCTGGGAAGGTAGAAGATGGGTCAGAAGAAGGCTGACCTATTACCTCAATAGTGATGGGAGGTGCAAGAGGCTCTGTTGAAGGAGTGGAAACAACTTGCCCATGCCTGAACCATTGTCTTTGGTACCACCTTTGGACAATAGGGTGTGAGGGAAAAATAGGAGATTGAACTAGAGGAGGAGGAGGAGGAGGAACATGTAAGGAAGGCACAGTGGAAGGAAAGACATTAGGAGAAGAGGACTCAACAGAAGACTCACAAGAAACTGGAAGAGAAACAACTGGAGACATAGAAAATGGTTCCTCGAAATGCTCCCCTTCAGGAGAAATACCAAAAAAAGGAATAGACTCAGCAAATGTGACATCCCTCAAAACAAAGCAGGTGCCACGAACCGGATCAAAACAACAATGTCCCTTCTGTGTGGAGGCATATCCCAAGAAGGCACACTTATGTGCTTTAGGCTCAAATTTATGTCTCTGATGATTATAAACATGAACATAACAGGTGCGTCCAAAGACTCCTAGGGGAAGGGAAAAATGATTTCCATCCGGAAAGAGAAGGCTAAATTGGGTTTTGAAACCCAGAACCTGGGAGGGCATACAGTTAATCAAATATGTGGCAGTAGGGATGGAATCCCCCCAAAATTTAATAGGAACATCAAATGCAAAAATGAGGCATCTAGCAACCTCAATCACATGGCAGTTCTTCCTTTCCGCCACTCCATTTTGTGAGGAGTGTAGGAACAAGAATTCTGATGAATAACTCCAAAAGTCTCAAAGTAGGATGAAAGGTTCTTCTAAAAATATTCCTTAGCATTATCAAACTGGAATGTTTTGAGCCGTGTTAAACTAGGTAAGAACAAGTTCATGAAACTTTTGCACAATAGTTAGTACTTCATTCTGGGATCTCATGAGGCAAATCCATGTATAACGAGAATAATCATCAATAAAGAGGATAAAGTACTTGTAACCCCCCATAGTAGGCAAATGATATGGCCCCCACACATCAAAGTGCACATATGAAAAAGAGAAATAAATCTTTTATTGCTTACTGAATAAGAATGTCCACAATGCTTCGCAAGTTCACGAGACTCACAATGAAGACTCGATAAAGACATTCCCTTAAACATATTGAGAAACAATTGACTTAAAGCAAAAAAAGGTAAATAACCAAACCGAAAATGACATAACATGACTCTATCAATAGACTCTAATAAGACAGACTCCAAGGCTACTCCATTAGGTGGTCCAAGACTTCTATCAAGTGTGTCCAACAAGTATATTCCACTCGCCTCATGGCCACTCCCAACCGTCCTCTGGGATTTCAGGTCCTGAAAAACACAATGGGTAGGAAAAAAGGTTATGCTATAGTTCATGGATTTAGTCAAGCTACTAACAGATAAAATGTTGGTATTAAGCTTGGGGACATAGTTGTCAAGGCGACACCTAGGCGGCTAGGCAATTTTTAGAAGTCGCCTCGCCCAACGCCCAGGTGTTTTTGTATTAGTCTCTCACCCATATATATGCTATACTATTTTTTTGAATGTGCATAAGTGTATTATATCACTTTATTGGTTTGTTTTATCTTATTAGAATACACCCTGTTGTATATTATCATTTTTTTATTAAAGTAATTCTCTTTTACATTAAAACTGCAAAAGTTTCTTTGGGTTTGAGTCTGAGATCGAGAGCTGAGAAGAGAAAACGATGACTAGGAAGTTTCCATTGTTCAGTCCAAGTAGTCCAAGACCTCCAGGTACGTTTTTTCCTTCTTCTTCTTGAATTATTTTTGGGATGAAACAGGGGCTCTACCTCCTCCTCCTTCCTAAAATCACATTGGTACTCCTTTCTTACTTTTAACAATCCTCCATTTTTTTAGCCTGAAATATCTCCACCCCCTTAAACATAGTCCACATCATCCTCTTGGACAACTTATGTTGGAAACGAAACAGGAGCTCCGCCCCCTTATTTTTCACTCTGTTCTTATCTGCAATCCCCCATTTTTGTTGGCTTGGATGTTAGCTATGGCATTTTATGTTTTATTCGAATGATTTTATTGCTAATAGCTAGCATACAGGTATGTTGGTTAGTATAAAAAACCAAAAAACATAGCTTAAGAGGGGTAGGGATATATATTTTATACTTTCAAATTCTATCGGCTAGGCGATTGAGCACCCTGTGGTCGCCTAGGCGCCTTGACAACTATGCTTGGGGACATGAAGAACAGAGGATAAGACAAGTGCTTTAGAGGCTTTGACATCTCCTTTGCCAAAGATGAGAGCAAGAGACCCATCAGCAAGGGATATCTTCTCTACCAGAGAGGAGTTGATATATACAAAAGAGGTTAGATAAAC